TCTCACCTTGTTGTTACTTCGAAAAAACCACCGATTGTAGACCAAAATCCGAAACGTTATTCTTGCTAGTTAAATTCTTACCGAACACTCACCAGATCACCGTATGTTATCCTCTTTTCAAATCGTTTTGAAACAAATAAAATGGTTGTTAACACCGCGTTTACTACAGGCAGTCCTAGTTCGTGCGTTTGGATCTAGTACGTTAGACATTAACAACCATTTAGGGATTTCCTAATGCCTCCTGATTTTGCTTCCAAAAGTACATACAAACACCACACATTCATACTTCACATGTGGCTCATCCTTGCTTGATTTTGATTCTCTCACAATATATCTGATTTTTTTAGCTGACAACAGACACCTTGTCGAAAAGCTTCAAAGCCTTTTGAACTTCCAACCAGTTTCTAAATTCTCTAGGTCTAATTTATTCTTCAAAAACTTTGCTAATATCAACCCTGATCGTGCTCACTTCACCAGATTCACTCGTAGATTGTTGCATGCTGTAAACATGAACGTGAAAGACATTTTTTCCAGATTCCTACTTATTAAGTAACTAATTCAGCCAGCAACAATAACGGCAACCAACGAATGAACTGGAAACAATGGCTTCTGCCTCCCAATTATGTTCACGTGCATAATCCCCGAAATTTCTACACAGTACTAATTCATTAATAGCTGAAAAACAACTAAAACACTGAAACCATGCATGAATGCAACGTATGAAACAATTATGATGAAATGAATGAACTAACCTGGTGGTAAAAACTTTCGAAACAAACGAAATAACTAATTTTAACAGAAACGGAAACAATAATGAAGTGAAACGCAACATTTGTGAACAATGTGCATCAAGATAAGTTGTGGATAACTGCTGGATAAACGGGAAAACCAATGTGTAAACGCACAGCTACGGAACTGCAATCCAACATGGCCGACTAACATGGACGAAAATGACCTTTGAGCGTCTCACTCCATAAATGACCTTGTACGTGACGTTTAATTTCTGCCCTTGATCCTAATTGTATTGTACACTTGACACAGGATGGATTTCAGACGGCGCTGGTTTTGGTGACCGTAGATTGTATCTGCGTTTTCGTGGTGTGTTTGATTTTTAGGTGTCTAGTTATCAGGATTGTTTTTCTGCGTAATTAAATTCTAGTATCGATGTGTATGCCTTAAAGCATTACTTGAGTAAAGGTTATAAAGCGTCCTAATTAACGGATACATTCGACGGACTGCAGTCTTTCTGCATTGAATGCAGAGTTTTTGTTGCTCTGCAAATGTTCTGTGGTGTTGGACTTATCTAAGATTTCATAAAAACGTTTGGTTACAACAGTGCCTAGCGAAATAAACAAATTTTTCAAGGAATCTGGCTGCAACCTTAAAATTACGGTATATATCAACTCTGAACTTAGTCGAAAAAAATTGGCGAAAAATGGTTTAAATGGGCATGATTTTCGGCATATGGTAGGATTGGGAGTATAATGGGTGAGCCCTGAATAAATAATGGTTAAAGTGGGAAAGTAGTGGTAAAGTATTCGGGAATATTGGTTCGATGGTGGTAAAATGTTCGTTGAATAACAGTTCAAATATTAAAATATTGATTCATGTTTTTGCCAGGAAATATTCGATGTGTAACTGAAATTCGTCTGCTTTTCTTACTTTTGGTAATGTCCGTTATTTGCCCACTTTTTACCATTTTGTCCGATTTAAAATGAATAGCTTTGAAGAGTTGAAGCTGGAACTTTTGGTCCGGTCCATTGTAGACCTCATTTATTCCTTTCCCCTCATTACTAGTCAAGTACTCTCAAATTTCACATACCAGATCTCGGCGAAGTTAATGTGTCATAGCCATAGCTAACGTCTTTCAAGGTGTGACCTTCAGGAACCAATGAGATACTGGGAATGCTATGATATGTTATGTCAAATAAAATCATGCCTGCTTTTCTGCCCTTGGAGAAGGCAGATACAGTATTCTACCTATTCGCTAGGTACTTTTTCTTTTAGTCCATACTGTTAGGTAGAGTTATAGCCTTTTAGATTAGGATATACTATTAAGGTGTTGAGTACCGTTAAATTTAGGGTTAGAGTTAGGAGTAGGTCGAGGAAAAGTGTCAAAAGCATCAGTATTTCCCAAAGTATTATGACCTACAGTCACCTTGATGAATGCATGAATCGCAGTTGGCATGGTTTCTCTATCGATCATCTGTGTAGTGACTGGGAGTTCTTACAACACATGCGACAACTATATATTATAATGTCGTGTTTGCAGTGATTTTTTAGTGCATTTTTCAACGATTATGCGACTTTAGGGCACCTGAATTCTGATTGGTTGTTCAAGGACACTAATTCTGGCTATGATAGTTTAACATTGCCCAGATATCCTATAGCATATATTGTAATGAATGGAAGGTTTAGCAGGTTTTGATTTATTCTCTCACTCACACTAACAACTAAAGTTACAGTTCATGCATATCTCAATATAGCGTACTCAAAGTATCTTCAGCGCTCCAAAAGTTTTTCTTTGACTTTGAGTGTTGTTCATCTCCATAAGAGGATATTATAATTGGTAAATACTTGCCGAAATACATTTTCTAGAAGTGTTTAATGATATACACTAGTTTACGTTGATTAACACATATAAATACAAATGATCTATCAATGATATGTTGTTGAGTGTATGCAAAAACGTAGTCTATGTGCGTATATATTTCCCTCTTGGTTTTTAATCGAATGCAACTGCTTTTTAGGTTGCAATATAAAGAGCCTCAATACTAATCAGTTACGCTGCTGAGTCTTTTAAAAAACTGTGTGTTTGTTTGGATATATTCATGGTCCGGGTTTCGATCCCCTGCCGGCGCACACCCGATATCTATGGTCGGCCTGCAAAATTGGGCTACCGATATCACATGCTGAAAATTCCATACTTGTACCAAAAATACGATATGGAATCAAGCTATTATATATATATATATATATAAAAATGTTTTCTTCGTTTAATGTGGATATTTTGCCTACAAGCTTAGATTTTAATTTAGATTCCTTTATTGTAATTATGTCTATGAGAGGAAATGTTATCACATTCTGACGTATATGACTGACTCTAGATTTACTCGGTTACACAATGAATTCTCTTCGTATAAATCTTTCCCCAGTTAGCACTGCATGAGTAATCAGCTTTGAGCTAGCCTTTCTGTCAGTTGGTACCAAATAATTGTCTATGTAACACAAACTCTGGATTTTTGTTAATATACTAATTCTTTGTATGACACTTCATTTGCACTCAATGTTATTTATTTCTGCAATATTTAATACGCATCTACTTAATAACAGTTTATTACTAAAAAATCGAATCATGTGATTGCTACGGTCACCTGCAAATGTTTGAGCATTGGTTTATATTAACAGCTTCAACTGGTAGGAAGAGCTTAAAAGTACGTCCAGCATATAAACGCGAACTAAATTCCACTTTACGTGGAAAACTTTTGGGTATTTTTGAAGAGTACATAGCGTTAACTCCATATGAAAACTTGGACTAAATATTAGTCCTATATTGCTGTCAGCCATATAGTGTTTAGATTCGTCTTGCATTAGGTCTGCAAGAATAGACTGTGTATTCTCCCAGGTTGGTCATACCGGTTTCTTATCTTATTAGAAACCAGAGCTTTCTGTTAGTTAGAGTTGTTTTGATACCCTTAGTCCAACAGAATTACCTTTGAACGTTTTTCTAAGCATGCGACTTAGTGATACAATTGAAGAGTATGAAGATTTCATTGTCTTTAAGTAAGGAATGGTTATTAGACTACCATCCTTCTTTGGCTGTTTGGAATGAGAAACATCATTTTGTAACAGGAAGTTAGTTTAATGTCATATTTTTGAATTTCACTGATATGTGTCTGAAGGTATCGTGGAATGTAAGCTTTTGTACATATTTAGGCACTTTGGTTTTCGTAACTTAATCTAGAAGCACTTACACTTTGTTACCTGTTGTTGTAAACACAGAAAATCTGCAAGGAAACTTGCAGATTTATGCTCCGAACCCAATTAATGCTCAGCTTACTACTTGCCTAACACGAAAAACTAAAAGAGCTTGGAGTGTAAGTAAATTTATATATGATGATAATAATACCAAACAGTCGTATTGTGACAAAGAAACGTAGTTGAAATTTTTATAGGAAACAGGTCCATCAAAATTCAACTAATATTTTCTTAGATGGTATCGTGAAAGCAATCTGTAGTAGTGTTAAGAGTGCTTTTCTGATGAAACTGAGATGGATTTTCAACTGAAATCTCTGCATTGAAGTACAGCAATTTAAGCTGCCACACTATAAAAGCACAGGATGGTAAAAACCAATGACTGGAGATAATTGGTGATATGGCCCGAAATCGTCCTCAATGGCGCAGATGTATTCACCCTGTAATTTATCACATCCAATAAAACTCTATTGTTTTTCCATATCACTGTTCTTTTCCCTTCACAGTTCTGTTTATTATCTCTCTCTTTTGAATCTCTATTTACCCTCTTCTCTTGCTTTGTGTGCTACATGGAGTGTGGTACATATATATATATATATATATATATATGCGAACAAGATATTTTTTGTTTAGTTCACCGGATTGTGACCTAATCAATAGGCATAAGAGCAGGGTTCGAAATATTTTGGTGCCGTGCTGTATAATCTTTGGTCCCATGTTTTGTGTAACTCGTAATGTCCGGCCATTACTACCGTTAGATATTACAAACTCCTCATGGGTTGGAACGGTGGTTTTCCGTGCATATAATATAGACTGTGTTCAGTTGCTTATAATAAGTAGTGGATGCAGGCATCTGCTGCATACGTTGCTTTGATGGATCTTAGTGGCTCTAGATATGAATAACTTTTTTGGAATGTCTGTAGAGTTGGCAGCTTTACGTCAGAAATTAGTTTTTAGTAAGAAAGGGTGTTTATCGTAATGAATAATTTCCTCCCAACATTATTTGTTTTTATGCTTTGTCTCAGGTTCCATGACAGATAATTGCAAGCACGTTCTAAAAGTGAAGACAAGCATCCAGTTGGGAATACTCTCGCCTGAACATTGGCATTGCAGTCACTGTTATACAACAGAGAGTGTTTGGGCTTGTCTGTCGTGTAGTAACTTCGCGTGTGGTCGTTATATATCTGAACATGCCCTTCAGCACTTTAAACAGACAAATGTAGGTTATTTTTACCCAGAATTCATTTCAAATTAGCACCCCTTATGCATAGAAGTAAACGAAAAATTCGTTTATTGGTGAGTGCACATCCCATTATTGATATAGAATAATTAGTTACATCTGTGACGATTTCGTTCTTAATGATAATGCACCTGGCGATATCAAACTTCTCCGGATGGCTCTAGACGCAGTTACCAACCAGGACTTCAGTGGGCTTTTGAAAAAAAAGAGAGGCAGGCGGATTCTCAGACACCGTGGTCACGACGTCGAAAAGTATAAAAGCGATAGCATAATATATATTCTGTTACTTAGAAACCATTTACGTTTAATGAAGGCTGACGACATACAGACGGCAGTTGTTCGGCACAGGTAACGTTCCTCATTTATCAATCAATTTCAAGAATATCTCGACTCTCTTGGGCATTTCATTTGTGGTGGTCACGGTATGCTGAATCAAAGGTTAGTTTCTTTAATCACATACAGATTAATTTATTAGCTTGTTCCTGTTGCCCCCAAGAAAACGATCAAAAACAAATGCATACCACTGGCATTGACTCCTTCCTTCACAGGTCTGCGTAATTTGGGGAATACGTGTTACATGAACTCAATACTACAAGTTTTACGGTAATCTACCTTTTTGGTTAATAAAATTGTTTTTAGTCACACCGCTCCGTTTGCTAATTATGTGATGAATCATACGTTTGGTGAAATTACTTATCAGTCAAGAAAGCGTCATATTTATCCCGTAGACGTGCTTACTGAGGACCAAATATTTCCTATCAAACGACCAGCAACTTATTCAACGTTTTCAAAAGACCAAGCTCCCACAACATCTCAGAACTGTGGAAGTTTATGGAACTCTTCAGTGACCAAAGTTGTGTCATGTTGCGCTCCAAATAATGAATATATTTCTCTTCGTGATTGCAAGACGAATTTAGGTGCTCCAAGGATAAATAGACTTCTTTCATCCAGATCTTCTGGAGGATTGAACGGTGGTCAGTGCTTGAAGTCCCCCCACGAGCGTGGTCGACAACCACTTCCGACATCACTAACTGACCCACAAACCTCACCAGCTCCATCTCCTTCACTTTATGAAGAAGTACGTAATTTATTTAAGTTGTTGTGGTCAGGTCAAAAATCTATCGTCAGTCCGACTAATCTCTTAAATACAGTTTGGTCAACTCTACCTAACTTTAAAGGATATAAACAACAAGATGCGCAAGAGTTTCTAAGTCTATTACTTGATCGCCTGCAGACAGAGGTACAGGGTATTCCCATGGCTGTACCAAACAACAGTTGTGATTTTATCAATCGTGCTTTTCGTGGATATTGTGTTAGCCATGTGCGATGCTCTATTTGTCAAGTGATTGCATGTACTGAAGAACCTATATATGAACTCAGTCTTTCATTACCTACTGAATGTTATTCTGATGAATCTTGTAAATGTGATGTAGTCGATTTACTTCGACAATTTGTTAGTCCGTCTGCCATTGATGGTGCCAGCTATGCATGTGTAAAATGCAATCAGTGTTATGCTGAATTAATTAAGAAAGGGATAGAATCCACAAGATCAACGTTTAATGAGTATATTTATGATCCAAGTGATCAACCTTATCCCGGTATGTTTTATTAGCCATAGTGCTGTAATTGTTTAGTTTATTTAACTCCTACTGTCTTCATTTCGTCTTGAAATTATGATGTGGTTAATGAGTTTTAAAGTATTCATACTGTGCAAGTTGTATGTATTGTCAATGCATTTTTATCACTTGGCAGTTTTTGAAGCTACAGAAGTTCATGTAGCAGGCAGACAGATTAAAGTACCTCCAGAAGTTAGTAATTTGATATTTATGGGAAAAATGTTTTTGAAATTTGGTTTATTGGCTGGATGTAAAATGCCATCAGCTATACTGACGAGATAAGGTAAAAATTGAAACTTGACTAGGAGGAAACATAAACGTTCCAAGTCTCTGACTGGTTAGTTCAAGTATTGTACACTGTCGATAATTTTCAAATGCTGTAACTTATAAAGGAATAAATATGTAGGTGTTTGTGCTGATAAAGTCATACTTACTTTTAATGGTGATTTTGAAACAACCAGTTCTCTTTATGGATTTCGACAAAACAATTAAAAGACGTAATATATCTGAATCGTATAATGTATTTGCGCAACACGTTTTGAATAATCTGATCACACACGTACTTATCATAGGGATATATATATGTATACATATATATATATATATATATATATATATATATATATATGAAAATAAAGTCTTAGGGGTTGAGAAGGTAGGCATAGGTCAAGTTAAAATGACACATTGAAAATCAATGGAGATTAATTTGATGGAAAATAATTGTTCAACTGCCATGGTATCAAAACCGAGTTGATCAAGGAAGGTTTATTTTGATGACAGATTGTTTTCGAACACATTGAGGAGGTTTAAACTTTCCATTCTCTATGGCTTCCATAAACTTTAGGATATACCCCGAACACGTTTTATAGTTATATTTAAACATTAATTTTATTATCTGTATCTATGATATGTTTCGTAATAGAAGAGCTAGATCGTTTGTTTTACCATTAGTGGTTGAGGG